TCTTGTCTAAGGGGCTTTGAATCATGTTCCAAACCGGTTTTGCTTGAGGGGGGGTGGAAAAAAGTGTTTGGCGCAAGGGCTTGTCCATCAAAGGTTTCGCTCGCCGTTTCCCCGAGGAACTAGTGGTGATTAAAGAGCCATTAAAATGTGGACCTGGCGATGCTTTTTAAGCTCGCAAATGTAGAACTTCATAATGGACTCCTCCAAAGCCAGAGGTAATGACCTCAGCATGTCACTCCAGGCCAGCTCCGCAACGATTGCACGGACGATTAACTCTTACAGCGATGGCGCTGGCTGAACATATGTACGAATCGTCGCCATGTTGTCAATCCCTGCCTGTACTTTTGTCATGTAAATGTAGCGATCAAAGTCCAAACAACTTAATCTGTGGCACATTTACAATGACTGCCGAGTCCCGCTCGCATGCCTGAGTGTGTATGCGTAGAAAAGCCGTGCAATAATTTCCTTATTTGCCCCGCTAAAACCGATCCTGCGGACGCGCGTCCGTTTGATGTGTTCAGAGCTGCAGCGCAGATGCTACAGTTTTAGCTATGTCGGACGTCATCTTGCCGGCTGTTCTCGGAATACAGAAAAAACACCACCAGCACCACCTCTAAAATTAGCGTGCGCAGCACATGAAGGGGTGGTGGGGAGGGTTCGCGAGGAAGAGAAATCCCTCCAGAAGCTATCGTCTCGCCTCAAGTCGATCGGTTTTTCTGAGCGATCGTGTGGCCGCGAGCCAATCGGAGATCGCCTATGGTGACTTTGAGACCGCTCTCATCAAAGATAAAAGCGGCAAGTAAATATATTCCTCTTCGGGACCTCGCCAGGAATCTGGAAATCCGATTTTATATCCCTGTATTTGGCTAGTTTGTGTCACAGCCGTGCCCACCGCACCTGCTCTTTTGTGTCTGCACCCTGCCATTTACCATCTGACCACTAAATGCCCCAGACTTTTTCCTTAAGCTTCCTAGGCCGCTTGCTCCAGTTCAGCTCCGAGGTCTGTTTGTTGATATGTCTAGGAGAGCCGCTGCATTAATGCCAACTCCAGTAGGGTCAACGTCAGTGAGTACCATAGACCAAAAAATAAATAAAAAAATCGAACTCGAACGGCATGAACTGAGAGTCTTGTGATGTGACCGAGGCTGAAGAAAAGGAGTGAAAGTCAAATTCATATTGATCACACTCTTCGATGTGAAGGATGTCACGCATGGCGAGTCTTATTATTTATTTATTTTTGCCCTTTCTAAGCTGAAGGGGACCCGTTTTGCTGCTGAAGATCCCAGAATAATATTTTCAGGCGTGCGTGATGATGTGACAGAGAAGGCCCGGGAAAGTGTACACACCAGGGGGATTACTTGAGTGGGATCAACTTGTATTTTGTCGTTTGGATTTAAAAGATATAATTTGGGGACACTAACCTGGGAGTGGGCGGCCAGGTGGTCGCGTTTGGATTTAAAAGATATAATTTGGGGACACTAATCTGGGAGTGGGCGGTCAGGTGGTCGAGTTGGCGGCCCTGTGTGGAGTTTGCATGAGCTCCCCGTGCCTGTGTGGGTTTTCTCTGGGTATTCCGGTTTCCTCCCACATTCCAAAAGCACTCAACACTCAAAATTGTCCCTTGGTGTGAATATGAGTGCAGATGCTTGTTTGTCTCCGTGTGTCCTGCGATTGGTTGGCAACCGGTTCAGCGTATCCCCGTAGCTGGGATAGGCTCACCCCACCGCGACCCTTGTGAGAGTAAAGCGGATCGGAAAATGGATGGATGGATGGATAACGTGGAAGTCTTCTCACACACATTGTACATTTGACTCAAATAAATTGGGGTTGAACCAAACCAAATCACAAGTAAACAAGCAATTTCCAATCATCAGATGCGTAATGCTGTTTTTGTGCATAAAATAAACTCTGAGCACCTTTTTTTTTTAACGGATGTGCCAGATGTTGAACGAGAAACGAGGGGTGGTGGAGTGGCGGGGATCTCGGAGGCTCAAGTCTGTGCAGCAGGTGAGGGGATGCTTTCCAAAATCACATTATTGTGCTTTAAAGAGTGATTGAAAATACATATTGTCATTTCAGGCGGGGTTTTTTTTTTTTTGTGTTCCTCTCCCAAAAAATAAATGGTTTTAGAGCATTGTGAGTGAGTTTTGAATGGTGGCCTCTTGTCCCCGGTGGCTGACCGCACTTGGAAGCCAGCGGTCTGGCGATGAGGCCTGGAAGTCAACCCGGGAATGGTGGAGATAATAGGTCCTTATGACTTTGACCCTTGAAACCTGTTCTTAGCAAGAAGTTTAGGAGTGGTCCCGGAGGAGCTGTCCAATACTAAGCGCGGAGGAGGAAGAGGAAGAATGGTCGGAGGAACTGCAACCCTTATTTGGCTCTAAGCGCAGTCTTAGGAATGAATGAGACCCATGTATGCAACATTCAGGGAGCCGTATTTCTACCCTCAACCAATGAAAGGTTTATAGACTCTAACTAGAAAGACAAACCATTAAATCTAACACTTGTTTTAAACACAAAGATACTCCCCCCCCCCCCCCCCCCGCCCCTTCGTACCGCTTCCGACATTACCCCTGGAACCCACCTCGCAGGAATGTCCAATGTTGTTTTTATCAAATGTTCATTAAATGCGCCCATAAAGTAACTTCCTCCCTAAGACCGTTAAAAGTAGCTACTAGCGCAAGTATGTGCAGCCCATGTGCAGGCTTGCGGTATATGGTGGGGTCGATGGAACAGCAATGGACACCAGATGGGGGTGCGATGTAGAGGGGGTTGGGGGGGGGTGGAGATGCTAGAATCAAATAACACATGCGGAATATTGTGTTTGTGAGCATATATCATCACACTGTTGCATCAACTCCAAAAGTCGAGTGCACATTTGGAAGTGATATTCAATTATGACTGTAATTTAACATTCGCGCAATGTTCTACACACACACACACACACACACACACACACACACACACACACACACACACACCGCCATCTTTTGTTGAACACACATTTGTTTTTTTGCACCCACCAGGAAGCCCTTCAATAGTTGATTGAAAAAACAACTGGTGCACTGGTTTTCCATGCGAGCGTTTCATGTGTCCGAGATTGAAAACCAACATTCCACGGTCCCGATGTGCGCACACTTTAAAAAAAAATAAAAAAATATTTCGAGCATTTTGAGCGCCCTTGTGATCCCTCAAAACCCCTTTTTTTTTTTTCCCTAATGCAAACACGGCAAAAAATGCAATCCGTCAAAACCGCGCAAATCTCTCCCCGGGCTTGTTTTGTCTTCCACACATGTACACACACACACATACACACCTCCTCTTATTATCTGATCCCGCCATTGTAGCCCCCTCACCCCCCCCCGCCCCATGTCTTATATATATTCTCGCCTTCAGTTCAGGCTAGAAATGACAGTGCTTCCATCATAAAAACTTTGCAAGCAGGAAGATATTGACACAGGTGTTCCTGCTTGAGACTGTCTCGCTGCAACACATGATATGTTTTGTTTCTGCCAGCCAGCCCATTCCCACTGTCTTAGTGAATAAGACTCTCAAGCTGTTTTCACTGTTCGCGTACGCTTTTGTTTGCCGTTGTGACACATTCCTAATTTCCACCTTGGGATTGTTTTTCTTTGATTCGTCCAGTGTTGAGACACAGCAATGACTCAGTCGTGTGAGGGTGGAATTAATCTGTCTGAGCACGAGCTGGATGTGAACAGGTGGAGGTGTGTTTGTCTTAATTAATTTAAGTGCCAGTCGTTTTCTATTTTTGACCCCCTGAGGGCCCGTTGGCGTGGCTTCAGTCTCACACGTTTTTCGCGTGATCCCCGGGTAGCAAAGCTCCGGATGAATCAACTGTAGGCTTCCCTTCTTTAATTCAGGCCATGTTCAGACCTGTAATTTGGTTCTCCGATACTGTCGAAAACAAAAAATGGGATCTGGTGCGTTTGGAATCAAACGTTCGGTCCTACTGAACAAGCCCGAGACGTAAATTGTGTCCACAAGCTAAAGGTGTTTCTGGGAATCGTATTCAACCCACAAATTTGCATTTTGTGTGCATGTTATCGCCATTTATTGGAAATACATTTTGTACTTGGTGTGCATTTTAGACTTTTTTTTTGTGGCCACCAATTTTTTTCTTTTTTTCCTCTCTTTTCACTTGAGCCCTTGTCCGCTGCACTTGAATTGACCCAAAAATTGCTCTTGATCATTTGGACTGGATAGCGTATTGTATGAATCAATCATCACCTTCCCCGTTTTCGAGTTAGGTCGTGTTTGCACCTGTAATTTGGTTCTCTTGTCCAAGCCAAAGCAGAAAATGACACCGTTTTTTTTTTTTTTTTAATGCTCTACTTTGCATTCACACTGCCCCGTCTGCAATTTGACCGGATAAGGTTCTGTTTGAAACAACTACGGGCTTACCTACTTTATTCAAAGCCATGTTCCCATTCGTAATTTTGTTCTCTGGCCAAAACAGAAGATCAGACACTGCCTTTTTGCATCAGATAATTGGTCTTCATATTTAATTCCACACCCTGTAATTTGGTTATCCGGTTTGGCCAACGCCGTGGAATGATTCTCACAATACAAAAAGGTGATGAAAAAAATTGCACAGCAGTACAGTTTGTTTTGTTTCGTAGTATCTGGTCTTTTAACCAAAGCGGTCGAGTTGGCTCTAACTGAGATGTTCGCAAATGAACAGAATATACCACAGCAGTTGACTGAAACCAAAGCGTTGACACTTCAATCATAAATCCGGACAAATCTGACTCGAGTTCATTTTCAGCCAAAGCATTCACACTTGATCCAACTGAAAAATCGCAGCGGTGCGTCGACACCCGAAGCCTTCCTACTTAATCCATCAGAAAGAGGAATCGCAACAAGAGTTCGTATGGACCAAGCTCAAAGCTGTCAAGTGTGAACACACTTTTCTTCTGCTAATTTGACAAGGAAAAACACCGGGAACTGCTTTTCACAAGAGTCTTGTGGGTCTTTGCCGTCGTTCTTGGAAAACAAGCTCCGATGTTTTTCTAACCCTCCCACGGGAGTCTCTTGCGCTTGTGTAACTTGTCTCCGCCGTCCTATGACTGCACTTCGCTGCAGCAGTGGCACTCTGACCTCAGCCGACTACACTATTGTTGTTGCGCTCCAGTTACACTTACCATCAAGAGCTCACCGCTTGCTTTTGCAATCTTTGTAAGAAGACGACGCGCTTCTGCTGGCGTGTTGTGTGTATTTCTGTGTGTCACCGATGTTGTGGGGCAGGGGGGTGGGGGGGGGGGACTCGAGGCAGAGCATATTTTCTCACGATAAATACACATTTATTTACAAATAAAGTGGTTATGATAGAAATAAATACAAAATAGAAAAACATCTGCGCATTATACTTCATGTGGTATTGCACCCATTTGGAAATGTACATCAGAAATACAGTTTTTTTTTTTTTCAAAACCAGTAAAAGGAATATATTCCTCTGATTAAAATATTTATTTCCCAACTTGACAGAGACATAAATATATTCATATTATATGCTTCTTCCAGGATAGCTCTGTTTGTGTCTTTTCATATAAATAACGTCTTCATTGGGAAAACCGGGTGTCCATCATCACCCTTTTTGATGTCTCTTTTTTTTGACACCTTCCGCCTGTACCCGCTTTCTCATTCTCACCGGCAGCCGCATCCCTCGACCACCATGTCCTGATAGTTTTTAAGGATGACCTTCTCGTATTCATCCAGGTAAAGCAGAGAGATGGGGCTCAGTTCGGTGGGCACGCAGCACGCCTTCGGGATGTTGGAGTTCACAGAGTTGACCAGCGTCTGCACGATGGCGTGGTTGGTGGAGTTGAGGTGGTCCGCCAGGGGGAAGGGACACTCCCCGTGGCAGTAAAAGGCGTGGTAGCCCGGGGGCGCCACTATCCACTCGTTCCAGCCCACATCGCTGAAGTCCACGTATAGCGCGTGCCTCTTGCAGTTGGCTTTGTGCTGGTGCTTCCGCCGCTGTTTGCGCAGCGTGGCCTGGCGCTTTTCTCGCGTGTGCAGCACCGAGTCCCCGCGCCCGTCGTGGCCGTACGTCACCAGCAGAGGCCTGGCTTGAGGCCACGAGTCCTGGTCCTGGTGCAGGGACCTGCTCACCCGCACGTGCCTGCCGCGTCGACGGGCGTGCTCGTCGCTGGCCTGCCGCTCCTCCGGGTGGTGCACCTCCACCATGAAGCCGTGGTTGTGACCTTTCCCGGAAGTCCACTGCGACACAGCGGGGCTGACGTCGAAGCTTTCCCACCGGCTGAAAGAGTCCTTCACCAACCGGGTGTCTAGCAAGCGAACCAGAGGCTCCCCGTCGCCGCCAGATTTGGGCGTGCCGAATATCTCGTAAATGTTGATGCGATGGAAGCCGGCGGCCGCCGAGCTGACGTTTGCGGAGCTGTTGTTGGGGCTGGCGGGGGTGACGTCCTTGACTTGGTCCCTGTAGATGCGAAGCTCTGCCGACGTGATGCGCTCCTCTTCTGGGACGGAAGTGAGGTTGAAGTAGAACCGCTGGGTGGTTTTGCCTTTCAGGCTGGCCAGGGCCTCCATAGACTCTAGAAAAGATAGCGCAGGTTGAGCTAATTTGGCAGAGGTTGACCGTCAGGGCCAAACTGACCAACATTTTACATGAACATTTTCGAGAGTTTTTTTTTTGTCCAATCAGGTTGTTACCACATGAATATAATCCGTCAAAGGCGTTTGGAATAGGGAATGCTGGCCAATGGAATTGAAACTATATAAGCGATGGGGACCGTTTCTGTAACCAGCCACATTCACAAGACTCACAAGGCCAACTCGATTTCGTCGATAAGTTATCGGCATCTCTGGCGAGTTCTTAGCCAAATATTGATTATAAACTGCTGCAGATGATAGAAGTGGCATCGTTCCATATTGTTTTTGATCCAGGACCAAGAAGTGGATGAAGATGTGTCAATCCACACTGAAAGCTTTTTTTTTTTTTTTAAACTTCATCTTTTAACTGCTACATGCTGGTTTCTCTCGCGGTCAAGTTGTCAGGCCACACAAACAAAACGAGACAGGCGTGACTTTAATCTATGGACAGTTACCATAGCAACCACAGAGAGTATAGGAAATCCACCTGTAAATGCTCCCAAGTTCAGTGTCAAGGCTACTGTTTCGGCAGTCATACATTCATCCTCAAACAACACGCAGGATTCATTTAGCTCGGGATCAGGACGGCCCCCCCCCGAATCCCAAATCCTCCTGTTCTCCGTGTTCCAAATCCTCTTTGCTCCGTCTCGCTCTCTGTCACGCCGTCTTTAGCTCCCTCCCTCCTCCTCCTCCTCCTCAGCAAACAAGTCCGGGCTTGTTAGAAACGTGCGACTTGTAGATTGCGTTGATCAACATTCCTAATTTCTTTTCAGGCTCCCGTGCCGAAACAAAACGGGCAGTGTCGTTTTGGGTTGTTTTATGTCGCCATACCGTTTTACGCAGCTGCTTTTTATTCCTGGATCTTAACTGCAAGTGAAACCGAGTCCTGTATCTGAGCAAAGCGATGATGATAAACAGATGTGTCAATCATCAGAAGACAATTGTATTTTTGGAGCCCTTGTCAGTTGTGACACCTTTGAATCTTAATCAGCCCTTTCGAGGTCTGGCCTACGCTATAACCTGAATCGTCATCTGTTCGCTCCCCATTCAGGGGATCTCGGTCCTCATCTGATCTGGCCTTCCTAATTGTTCTCATTTTTAACTTCTGGCACTCTTGGTTACCTACCCTAACTTTTCTTCTCGACACTCAAACCAGAATTTTGTCCCCCTAACAGCACCCCTGGGTGTAATCCACCCAACAGAGCTTTCAGAGGTTTCCTGCTCCTTAACCAGGCTAGTCACCACTTTTGCCCCTTCCTCAAAAGCACCACCAATCACCTGCAGAGGTTCCTGATCCTAAACTGGTCTGGCCTACCCCCTCATCAGAATTCTCATCCGCCTAAGCTTTTTCTTCTAACAGCAGCAGACTACGGTTCCAGTCCCCTGCATGGGTTGCTGGTCCTCAACCGGTCTGGCCTGTGCTCAAACCAGAATAGTCATGACTTCCGTCTCACTTAGTTTGGACACTGGAGAGGTTACAGATCCTCATCTAGTCCGGTCACAAATCGTGATGACTTTTGCACCTTTCTCTCGTCCGTTCCGGCCCTCTGCTCGGTTTCCTGGTCCTCAGCTGGTCTGGACTACACTCAAGTCTGGCTTGTATGCGGCATGTCCGAGTGTCGCACCCGAGTAAACGCAAACGCCCCACCTCCAAACCGCCCCCAAGGTCTCTGCGTTTCACCGCCGATGTCACTTTAACGTGCCACCAATCACGACTTTTGGGAATGAAGTGGTACTTGCTATTATTTTAATATCGTATTGCGGCAAGTCGAACGATTTCACATTTAAAAGACATTTTAAGTAGTTGAACACTCAAATCAGCAGTAAAATGAACCAAAACCAAGAATTCATCTCATCAGGGTAGTAACGGACGTATTCCCGACGCAGGAGCATTTTTGAGGAATGGTGCAACGCGGAGAAGAGGTTATTTGGACAGGATAACAATTTGGAATTGCGTCTGTCTGGATGACGTGTTTGCCTTAATGCCATGTTGTGGGTTGCTGAAGTAACCCGGGGCCCGAGCAATCGTCTGCGCAAAGGCCAACGCCGCTCTTTATCCCGCTCCTGCGGTGCGTGTCTGGAAAAACTGTTTTCAGAGGCGTACTGCAAACACCATCAATTATTAAGTAACAAATTCACCCCTCAGGGATTCCACGGCCACTTGGATATGTTTTGAAGCTCTCGCTACAGCCGCGGCCAGCGGACGTTGTAAAAGTACTGACGCTGGACTTCATTAGAAGTCGAGATATTTGTGGGGAAGAAATAAAAGCACTAATTCGACTCTTTTACTGAAGACGTTTGTTCCAATTTTAGAATTGAATTGAAATCGAATGCCAGAAGCAGCAAGTTGGGTTTTTTTTCCGGCTGTCACAAAACAACGCGTTTGCCACGACTCAATTTTGGAGCCACCGTCAAACGAAATCTCTTAAATAAGGCTACGGAAGGGGAACATCTTGCTTCGTCATCATCGTTTGTCCCTGCTCATGTTCCTCCATGTCACCGCTGAAACAGTTTTTTTTTCTGCCTTATAACGCCACAAGACCTTAATCAATCAAGATCGAAATGGCAGTTAACAACCTCTGCCGAGAAGTTAACAAATTAAGGAGAAGAAAGGACAGAAACTGAACGTGGTCAGAAAATTAAATCCTCGAGTACAGTTTTGAAGTATTTGTTACTTCCCAGAAGTGGAAGCCAGACACCCCCCCCCTCCCTTCTCCATGTTTGCTCAAAGGCCTTTGCGTCACAGCCTTTTTTTTGAAGTGTCCCCAAAACTTACATTAACAGTGTAAATAAATTAAGACGCATGTCACCTCGCGGATGACTAAAAAGGTGCTGTAAAACGACCGAGTGCTCTGAAGTCAGCGTGCTGACACCCTGAGTCACGTTTAAGTACATGTTTGGGCTGTCTGAGAGAGCCCAGGAGCTGGAGGCTGACAGGTCGAGGTATTCGCTAATACGCACCTTCGTGGTGAAAGCTTCTAATCGTGTTGGCCTCACTGGCTGCCCTCTCGGCGTGCCTTCCCATGTTCTTGGGCCGCCGGGCACTGTGGTCGCCGTTGGCCGAGTGCATGCGGTACAGGTCCACCATGTACCGCGGGACGACGGCGTGCTTGCCTGGCGACGGCCTGCGTTTCAGGCCAAACATGCTGAGGAGCCGTAACTCAAACTCGTGCAGGGCGCCCGCAGACTGCTGCGGGCTGTGCCGGCCCGACTCGCCGTACCGCCTTCGGCCCACCTCGGGGATGAGTCCCGTCGCGCCTTCCATCAACACCTGAGCCATAAGCAGTACCATGAGAGAGCCGACCACGGTGACCATGATCAGTCAGTCCCTGCGGAGGAGAAAGTGGACGTCCTGTCAATTTGCCGAGCAGCATGGAAGAAAGGGGAAGACACCTCGTCGCTTTGAGGCGGTGGTGGCGGCGGTTGGCAATTAATCATCGGCATGAAGTCTGATCTCTAAGATGAAGATGGAGGAAGTCTATGAAGGACAGGAAGGGCAAATCAAAGAAGTCTCCAATTAGAAATACGCCGAAGGAATGCAGGCGAGTGGAGATCAGAAGAGGCATGAAAGAGTCTTTTCGAAGAAGGGGGGGGGGTGAAGAGGAAAAAAAAGAGAAGGGGAAAAAAAAAAAAGTTAGGAAAAGAAGAGGCCCAGCCTGCCAGCCGGCCGGGTGCTACAAGCGTCAATTTGCGGAGACTTTGACTGTATAATCATAAGGGATAGGGTTACTTCAAGAGGCTTGCAGGTGTTAGATCTGACGTGCACCACCGGGGCCAGATGTACAACACATCTAAAAAAAAAAAAAACTGCCTGCAAAGGAAAAGTGCACTTTAACCACACTTTTTCCACTTCCCTATAAGATTCCCTGCCTCATTGAAGAGCATCAATACATGCAAAGCGTGATAAAAGTCTCTCGGAGATTTTAACTCCCACGCTCAAGTCTTGTTTTTTTTTTTTTTTTTTTAATTTTTTTTCTTCTTACCTGACGAGGAAGCGTTGTGTCCGGTCGTCGTTCCACCGTTGGGCTCCGATAAAGTCCACATGAAGTCGCGTTAAATCCACGCTGCTTCTCCGCGGAGGACCACAGACAGACAGCCCGACACCCTCATTTGTCCGCTCGCGCACATAATGTCACACGCGCCGGCTTGGTTCTCTCTGCGATTCGTCCTTTTTTTACGCACACACACACACGCACAAAGAAGAAAAAAAAAACCAGAGGACCAAACGGGTTCTTGTCACGAGGAAGTTTTTGCGCGCAAGAGGGAGCGATCAAAGTAGAACGCGTCTCGGTAGAACATCTTCCCAACAACGAAAAAGCGTGTCAAAGTCTGGAAGCAAAGTGGAATTGGGTTGCGCTCTGTGGATGGTCGCGCCGTGCGCCACCGCCGGAGTGCTGCGATTGATTGGCTCCTTCCCCTCGGCCGGCCACTCTTTTTGTCGTCCGGTGATGTCACCGAGGGGCTGTCAATCACATGGCCGCCCATGAAAGCGCCTCCCGTGGACTTTTAGCCCTCGGGCGGACGGGCGGGGTGGTAGTAGTAGTGGTGGTGGTGGTGGTGGTGGGTGCGAGACTCACACCCAAGCCAACTTTTTTTTTTTTCCCCTCCTCTTTTTTTTTTTTTACCGCGTCCAATAAACCCACATTCCCCCCCCCCCCCCTCCGTTTTTTTTTTTTTTTGGAAGGCCTGAAGGATCCTTCTAGTTTCTCGCCGGGGGGCTTTTATGATAAGGAAAAGAAGCTACAATAGCACTTAAAACAATGTTAATTTGGATGAGCACCAATTTGGAAACCTTTCGAGATACAGACCTTCTGCTTCTTTCTGAAGTGGACTAACATTCATGCATTATTTATAGGATTAAAAACCAAAATGTTAGATATGTTTTGAGTGAATATAAAATAGATTTGACTCCACAATGCAAACTATATCAATGCATCTGAACAAATCAGCAATAAAATTGTCCTGTCGAAAATTCAGCAAGTTGTAATATTACGTTGGATGTGGGATGAAGTGAGTTAAGTCAGATAAGTCACTAATAAATGCTCAGGAACCAAATGCTCGACCCGCCAGTACCTGCTGCATTGGTACAAGGTGAGAATTTTAGCCTCATTTGTGTTGATTATGGGCTGGAAATTTAATATTTGATTTTTTTTTTCTTCCGTCATCTCCATTAAAAAAAAGCCACCATTGATCCCCTTTCGCGGGGCCCGTTAGGCCATGATAGTTGGGCCAGGCGGTTGTTTTGGCCAAAGCGGCTGTTCTGTTTTCATCCAGGGTGATGGCAATAGATTAAAGCCCACAAAGATTCACAAGATACCTTTGTCTCCTGCCAGGACAATAACATTTGATGAGGGATAATCCCTGATCATCCACTTTGCAATTAAAATACAGATAGGCCTCTGGTTGCATAACGTTAGTCACCTCAGCAGCAAACTTCTTACCTGTTTGCTGTTGGGATCTTAGCGATGACTCCCAAAGCAATTGCAACACAATAGCAAATATGACGCAAAAAACAAAAAATAGTAAATCTATATGTGTGTGTGTGTGTGTGTGTGTGTGTGTGTGTGTGTGTGTGTGTGTGTGTGTGTGTGTGTGTATATACATACACACACACACATATAAAAAATCCTCGTCTCACCCCTCGGATGGTGTCCGTCCCACATTCAGCCAGGAAGCTTGAGGGTTCTGCGCAGTATCCTTGCTGTTCCCAGCACTGCGCTTTTCTGGACTAAGATGTCCGATGTTGTTCCCGGGATCTGTTGCAACCACTCATCTAGTTTGGGGGTCACTGCCCCGATTGCTCCGACCACCACAGGCCCGACTGTCACCTTTACCTTCCAGGCTCTCTTCAGCTCCTCGCTGAGCCCTTGGTTTCTCGTGTTCCTTCTTTCTGATGGTTCCATCCGTGTCTGTCACACCACCCGAGGGGTAAGACAAGGATTTATTTATTTTTTTATGTATATATATAAGACACTGCTGGAAATGTACCTGACCATTGAGAAAAGGGTACAGAGTAGATGGAAGGAGTTGATGAATGAGGAAAATGAAAGAGGTAAAGGACAATGGCTTTGTCCTTGACCGTGTCAATGTACTTAAGACAGAAAATAAATATTAAGAGGAAAATGGTAGTTATGAGATGGACAAGAAGAGACAGAAGAAAAAATACTCTTAAGATTTAAAATATTGGACTGAGCAGCACACGACAAAAAGTAGGAAAACATAATTCACGTGAATGTCATTACTTTGGATGAAAATAAACAACAGAACACAAAATATTATCTTCTCCATAATATTCTCTGGAAACAAGACTTGAAGATTTGATTTTAATATACTGCGAAAAAGTCATTGTTTTCATATTTTGTTTCTAAACGTAAAATCCTGTCAGCAAAATATGAGAAGAGCTATTTCTTATAATTATCGTTGCCATAAATTGCATTTTCATTCATAAACATAATTGATTCACATTCCCTACCAGTAGGTGGCGGTAATCCGTTTTATTCCCAGCTGTCATTATCACCGAGAAGAAGCAGTCCCGGAAAAAAAATATGGCTAAGAACAGCGAGATGCAGACACTCGACTTTCTTCGAACAGCAGAGCTATTAAAACAAGGCGCAGAAGCGCGAGTATACCGTAGTGTGTTTCTCGGGAA